CCCCAAAACCCCAAAACCCCAAAACCCCAAAACCCCATCAAATGTTATAAAAATTGAAAATGAGCACTATTGGTAAGAAATTTCAGCAACTTCAACCCACTTGCATCCTCTTTAGGCAATTTTCCACAGTCTTAACAAATATTTTAGACAAAATTAAGTCAAGAAGAGTGACCAACCGAGGACTTAATAAGAAATATGCAAATCTAGCTGAGCACAAAGTAAGCCTGATTAGGCTTCTTATTTTCAAATAAATTCTGGCGGTTAAGAACTTATTTCTCAAAGAAAGCTAATTTATTTACAACATGGTGTAGGTAGCAAGGAACACAAAGATAAGATCTACAGAATGGCACAAGGGAAAATCGGTCTCTTTGAAATATAAGTCAAGACCTTTCAAAAGTTTCAATCGAAAGATCAATAAACTGAGCAAATCCATCAGGAATAGCGTGCGCGCAATCCCTATCAAGAAGAACAACCTCCAGGAACGGTAAATTGTGTCTCTTAGCATGTAGAAGGAGCAGCGTGCAAGCTGTTTCAAGAAACAGCATTAATTTAAACAAGGAGGATAATCGCAAGGGCCACGAAGAAATTGAAGCCATGGAGACTCATTATATGACTGCGAAAAATAATAATCTAACTGATAAAATTCATAAGAGCAAGAGCAAACTGGATCATAATGAAGATAAGCTTGAAAAGAATCCTTTCAAGCCTGCTAAGTAAGTTTTTGTCTTATAATTCAAGATTCATCAGCTTTGGCAATCTATCACCAAAAAGAATCTACAAAGATAAAGGAGCTATTGAAAGAAGAGCTGTCTTACTCCAAGCTCAAACAGCCGAGGATGATGAGAAAAGGAATAAATTTACTCCTCTAAATATTGCTAGAAGGGTCTCTACCATTCATGAGAGTCCGCCAGGGAAGAGGAAGTGAGATCTGGATGATCTTAGCTCTAGAATGCTTCCTAAAAATATTCCTAACACAACTAGAGACCATCAGATGGCTAACGGAAAATAAATATTTCTCAAGAGTCAAAAGTTTTGAGGCCTACTTCAACAAGATTAAGAAGCAGAAGATTATGACATACACAAAAATCAGCGCCTCTGAGAGGCCAATCTCCAAGGCCTTGCTATTCAAGATCATCTCTAACCGACAGAAGCAAGAGGGCGACCTTATCTTTTGCAAGTGAGAAAAGCATCCAGAAATATTCCAGAGGGGTGACCTTATGATGTAAGTTATCTTTACAAGATTTTTATAGGTATTTCTCAAGAAAAAGAGTCTATGATGAGCTCCTAAGCTGTGCCTACAAGACTTTCGACACTTACAAGTCAATTGATGATCTTGAGAAGAACAAGAGAGTCATGGATATTGTCAAAGATGTGCCCAGAACTTTCTCTAACTACGAGATATTCAGTAATTATCATTCTTCACCAACATAGATTACCATGAGATGATAGCCAAGGTCTTCAGGATCCTTCTGGTTTTTCTTGAGTACAAAAATGGGGTGGAATACTACCAAGGAATGAATTGCATTGTTGGAGCTCTAGCTATCCACACTGAAGAGTCAAAGGCATTCTGGTTGTTCATTGACTTATTGGAAGGGTATAACCTAGATGATGCATACAAACCAAATCTGGAAGGCTGAGCCTTATTTACCAATGAAATACAACAAATGGTCAGCAAGAAGTTCAAGAAAGTTCATGCCCACATTACGTCCATAGGTATCAGCTATGAGATGTTCTGAGTTAATTGGGTAATCTCCTTCTTCTGCTCCTATATGCCACTGCATATGATCCCAATATTCTTCGAAAATTTCCACAAGAAAGGATGGCCAGTGTTCTACAAAGTAATATCCAATATCTTCAAAACCCTCGAGAAGAGCCTACTAAAATGCCAGGATATCTGAGAAGTCCTAGAGGTCTTTAAATCCCTCAAATACCCCGACACCTCAGACCTCGCTCCCTCTGGGTCCAAACTATACAAGAATTGTAGGATCACCAAGAAGTGGAAGGCTATTCTTAAATAACATCAACTCCTAAAACACACTCATCAGTAGTCCCCTGGTCTATCTCCCTACCCACCAAGGTCCTATTTTCTTAAAAAAATTTCCTTTCAAAACTACCAAATAATTTTGGGGTTTTGGGGTTTTGGGGTTTTGGGGTTTTGGGG